CAGACCAGGCAGCCATTTTGTATCACGTGGTTGAGTTCTCACAGACTGGGTGGCCATTTTGTATCATGTGGTCGAGCTGCCACACATCTCATTTTCCTTCATACAGTCTAAATGCTTGTTTCACCCACGAGAACCAGCAGGCATTGGCATTGCCTCCTGTGGTTCCACAGTGGAAAGGGCTCCCTCTAAAACTGAAGTATAAAGTGTGTTCCTTGTTAAAGGGATTATTGGTGCCCTTCCCCTTTAACCAGGACCATGAACCTGCAGCAGGGTGAGTTCTCTTATCTGGTGACTGATTTCAGTATCCTGAGAGTGACTCTGACTCCAAATCTCTTTCAAAAGGTGGAAATTTTCTACCTGGAGAGAGGAATCTTTTTGTCATTGACTTGGAGCAAAGCTGTAAGTAATTTCAGCATCCTGTAGAGCACAAAGTAAGTTGCTTATTCAGTGATACTGCTGCAAAGAGATGGAACTAAAAAGAGAGGAATTAATTAACTAAAAGAACAAGTTTTGGTATTTTAAATCAATACGTGATCACAGAAATGTATGTGAAATTTGTTCAAATACAATGGGCATTTTCTTTAATTTTGAAAACTGAAAATCCAGTGTTGACTTACTGATATGTGTGATAGGCATTGGCTGGAAGATAAGAGGGCAAACAGAATCTGCTTGGATTTATATCAGAAAGAACCACATACACAGTGTTGCATGGTTTTTGAACACTGCTCAGTACTGCCTTTTACGCTCGATACCATTAAATCAATTTTTTTCTAAGCTTAATTCCACTGCCTGATTCCTTTCCTCAGATCTGCCAGGTCTTGCTTTGAGTTAATAATGATGATTAAGTAACTGGCTTTGATTTCTTTGCCGTCCTACTCTTTCTTTCACCCTACAGGGTGACTCTTCTAAAGCTGTTAGTGATGATGAGCCACTCTGTAAAGATTTTATTTAGATACTGAAGTATTAGCACCTGTGAGCACAGTAATGTACACTGCTGTAATGACAGAGGAGCGACATATTTCATTTATCCCTTTTGTTGTCCTACAGACTTCATTAGTCACTGGTGTTACTTTGTTTAGCGGAGGAAAGGTAATGTTAATCCTTACATTAACACCCACTACAATAAGGCCTCAGTGCCTTAACTTTCAATGTAAGCAAAGCTGAATGTATATCTTGCTAAGGACTCCCTCATTGGAGTTCGTGTTCCTTGAGGCCGAGAAAAAACCACAGACATACTATACAGACAATAGCTGAGGAACTGCCTGAAAGAATATTCACGATGATCTTGCACATCAGCTGATTCACGTATAGAAGAGTGAGAACATGCAAATTGACTGCTGTCCCTCTGGGCGTCCAGGCCTTCCTAGACCTGTTTCTTCTGCGTTTGTACTGGCTGCTATGCTAACCTGGATCAGTTCTCTGCTGCATGCGCTTTACTTCAAGGCTACTGCATTTCTTCATGCAAAATACTGACATAACAGTAACAGTATTGAAATTCAATAAACACTATTGCAGAGCTGTTTCAAAAATCAGTGACAGTGAGTTTCATTATTATTCTATCTCAGTCTGCTTTGTACTTCTTCTTTGAGGAAAACCATAATTTCAATCAGTAGTTAGAACAAGTTTTTTCCAGGGATTAAGCCTCCATAGCTCTAACAGGGGAAGAGTTTGCACTGATTTTCATCAAAAACAGGTTTGGTTTGGAGTGTTTTGTTTCTTATACTTGAGTGCAAATGCTTATAAAATACAATGTCCATGCTGTGAAGAGCTGTGGTGGTTGCTGGTTTAAGTAAAGCTGAGAGCATCATTAGTGCTGATGATACACTCAGAACATAAGCTCTCCAGCTTACTTCCTTTTTTTTTTCTTTCTTTTTTTTTTTTTTTTTTTCTTTGAAGTAAATCTACAATATGCTTTCTTCTAGCTTTGGGATCTGGCTACATGTGAATACAAAAACTGAGAAATTCAGCGAGACAGTGAGAAGAATGAACCATTATTTTTTAAAAGAGAACATATAATCTATGGCTGGATGTGAAACTGATATGGAATTTATTAGTTGATCATTTTGTTCATGCTTTGGTAGGAACTAAAAACCACCCAATTTAAATCAAAAGAATTTCTGTTCTGTTGCTCACTTCTCTCACAGCATGAGAGAAAAAATGGGAATGCAAACATTTTCTCCATTACTATTTGTATGTTTTATTCTTTTGTTGTAAAAGAATAAAAGGCTAAAGGAAGTATAAGATCTAAAGTGATCTGGTTCTCATTAGAGCTGATCTTTGACTCCCTGGTATGAGCATAGGTGCAGCACTACTAGTTGGCAGGCACATTGTCCAAGTCAAATCAAGCACAATTTCATGCAGGTTTTACAAGTAATTCATGGGGAAATCCAGTCCTGTCAGAAGAAATCAACTCCTAACATAACTTAAAATCATAACCTATCATAGATTTCTGGTCTTGGAGCACTAGCAATCCACTGCTTCAGGAAATAAATGAAAGAAATACATATGGCTGTGTAAAAAGCCTTCTCCATCATGTCCATGAGTTAGAGTTAGGTAACTTGTCTGGCTAAGCAGGTACAAAACTTGGACCACTGAGATAACTGAGTTGTGATGTTTGTCCAACAGGAGGTTAATAGTCAGCATGTTGTTAAAAGATAAATAAAGCTGACTCACTGTGAGTGAAAGCTATTTAGAATGAAAGGCAGTAAAGAACATCTGCTGCTGTACTACTTGAGTATTACTTGCAACATCCTTTTCATTTGTCTTTATTGTTAGGAATAAAAAGTAAAAAATATTTTTTAATGAGACAAAGTCAAATAGATATATATATTTAATTCCCAAAGGCTATTAAAAGAAGCATGTGCTAATTTAAGTGATTTAAGTGATTCAGCGATTTAAGAACACAAACTCTATGGACTCCATCATCAGAACTCTATTGGTATTCATTAACATTCATTTGGGCTCCTATGCCTGACCTTTTCGGCAGTTTTGAAAATCTCTCATGGAATACTGTTATTTAATTTGATCTATGGAAATGTATTTTGTGTTTATAACTTAATGGCTTTCATTTAGAAATGTCAAATCTTGGCTGCTGTTACTGTGGAACACAGCGTGCTCTCTTGTGTCATGAACTAAGACCACTAATGAAGTGAGAAATAAAGCCTGAAATAGTTTAGACTTTAGAAGCTCCAATCTCCTACCTGTTAATATTTCCTTCAGACAAATATCCTTTCCACAAAGGATTGAAGTCAGGTATAAAAATATGCTCTGTAGACATGTACTCTGCTGAAGTTTCCTTTTCTACGTAACACATCCCATTTTTATCGTCTGCAAATCATGCTGAATAAAAAAGACAATTTCCTTTGCAACTACAAAAATCATTTCCCAGTGGCATTTTGCAAGCATTCACCTAGCTGGGATGCTCTTTATCTTTCTTCCTTTTAAAATGTCAAGCAGATAAAAGTCTTCTAAGTATCATTCTTTCCTATTTTGATTAATTTTGCATAGTGTTTCCGAGAGGAATTGATACTTACATAAACCTGAGTTCTGATTCTCTTCTGACTAAGACTTCCCGAAGTCTCTGGATCTTTGCCATCTCTAGCTCTATTTCCTCGGGCATCATTGTTGTTTCAGCCATTGAAATGATGTCAAGTTGATCTGCATGTGAAAGAAGAGAGAAAATAAAGGAAGCTGGTCAAACTATCTTAACAGGGCTTTTTAGGAATGCAAATTTAACTACAGAGCTACCTGGCTATGGAGTAAGTGCTATTAATGCATCTTCTAGCTGAGTGCTACGTTCACTGGTTTCTGTGGTGTTTTGCTTGTTACTTTCAGTGTAACCATTTTGAAGAATCCGTAAGTCAAGTGACCTTTATTTCTAGTCAGAATCTATCATAACCCTGGGGAATCCTAACCCAGTGTGTTCACTCCAGCTCCGGTTCCTTAGTTGGTATGACGACACATTTTGAAAGAATAGCGTTAGCTACCAAGCTCATTCAAGGCAATTACTTGCAAGCATGAAGAGTGCTGTCTTAGTGTAAACCAATGAGGGTTTCCCACTCCCATTCCCAATTCCTGAAACACTTCATGCCGTTCCATTATCTCAGCACGATCAACAGCACAGCCCAGAGAATAGCTAAAGATGTGACTGGAACTGATGTAGGGCCTATTCCTCTGAGGAGGTGAGCGTTCCTACTGAGAGCACTGATTAATTTCAAACAAGACTTGAGACACTAACGCATAGAGTGCCTGTGTATTTTGGCAGACGTATCCCTGAAAGGAGGCCTGTTCCAACCCCATGAAAAAGGGGGGGAAAAAAAAAAGAAAAAAGACAAGAAAAAGGAGAGGTCAAAATGATTATGCAGAATAGAGGAGCCAAAAAGTATCTCAAATAAAAAAAGAACTGCTCAACTAATTATGAGATGAATTCCAAAGTCCCTCATGATGGACTAAGCTAAGAAGAATTTCCAACAGGAACATGGAGTAGAAATAAAACTACAAAATCTCAACCAAAAAATCGTCAGAAAATGCATCTCTCTGCATCAGCTTAGTTTTACAAAGACCTGTTCTCCCAATATGGAAACAAATTAATGGAATTCTAGAAGATAGAAAAATAAATTCTTTGGGCCCTATATTTTTTTTCCTTGAGTTTTTTTTGTTTTGTTTTGTTTTTGGTTTTTTTTTTTTTCTTTTTTGAGGGGCAAGGAGGCTCTTTTGGCTTTCTTCTTGTTTTAAGTTATCCTGTTAGTATTGCCTGCTATTTCTGTGTTCAGTTCAGCAGAAAGGAACTAAATTAAAAAATATAAGAAATCATTAATTTTTTAAGAGAACCGAATATTGGGGGGGGGGGGAAATGACTATCACTCTCATACAACAACAGCCATCTGACAGTAGTTGTTCTTAAAACTCAGGTTGCAAAACTGGTTGATAGAGTAAGGCTATTTACTGCCTCTAGAAGATGGGCTTTTTATCCGAAATCATTGTGTGTGTTGGGGTGTATTTACTTGAGGTATAGCGTGGATGGTTTAAGAAGTTTTGTTACAGCTCTGTCACTGACAAAGTAATGACATGTAAAGAGTAAGGCTCCTGAGTGTTCTGAAAATCCACCTACCTAACAGGTGGTCAGAACTGCAATACAGTACTCAACAGATGTTCTACATTCTTTTGACTGCTGTTCAATAAAACATTGATCCTCTAAGTATAGTTTTGCCTCTTGTTGCTTTTCAGGCCTGTTGAGTTATTTTAACTGTTGCAAAATTAGATTTGAAAATTTATTTCTCAAAAACATATTAAGTAGGAAATAGGAAGCTACCATGAATTAAAGCCAATAATATTGGTAATTGGAAACTGAGCCACAGACATATTACACATATACATGTTTTAAAATTAATTCTCAAGATCTCAGAAAAAGGGATGGGGGGGAAGGAGGAACCTTAATCCCACTCTGCAATTCTAGCTCTAAGTGCCCCAGTTTTACCCTCTGGGTCAGATCACACCGTGATTTCAATACTTCAGGAAGGGAATTATGAACAAACCTCATGCCATATGTGCCTAGAGTCAGCGCTAGAATTATTGTGACAAGCGCTAGTCTAGTCTGACCCCTGCAGTACAGTCACAGATTCTCCTTCACATCCTACTCAACGTGTGCTTGAACCAGAGAGAATATTCTTGAAAGGTATCCAAAATTATATTGATTTCAAAGGAATCCAAAATATAAGCAAGGCACCACAGGTTTAAAAGTAGAGGTAAATAAATATAGAAACCGTAAGATCTCAGTTCACAACCTGCCTGCAAACTTAGGGATGCAACTAGATCAACACAGAGACAAAGGAGTATTGCAGTTTATCTCCACAGCAGTACATGTCCCATGAGCATACTGTAAATAAATTCTCATAGACATTTCAGACTGGAAGGAAAAATAAGAAGAGTTGAATTAAAGCAACTCTGAGGGAAAAAAAAACAAACCCAACAAACAAACAGGACAGTTGAAACAGGAAGAAATGTGGAGGTGAGGATACAGAGTATGGTGATACTGTGGTGCTTGAAGAGATTTTAAAGAGCCAGTTCTGGAGGGATACATACGGTCTTCCAAGAAGGAACTGAAGGATACAGTCCATACTTCATGCATGTTTATCTGTACACTTTTAAGGAACTATGTGATTTTGCATCAAATCTTCAGCTTTCCTGAAGCTCCCTTCCTAAAAGGTCAAAGGTAAATGAGCTCCTTTGACAGCTGCCCATTTACTTTATATGTGAGTCCATAGATCTCACAAACTCAATAGAACTGACACGTGCTTTGGCTCTCACTGAAGAATATGCATTTTTAAGAAAGGCTTTGAGGGGAAAATACGCAATTGGAACACAGTACTTCCTGGAACTTTTGAAACAGTAGAGAATAAGTGAGAGGATACGTGGAAATACAAGCCCCTAAAGAGGCCACAGGTCAGGATTCCCACCATATACCTTCATTGTTGTGATTCTCAAAAATCGCCAACTTGTTTGTGCCTGAACTTCTCTACCAGTACTGAAGATAACTGGCCTATCCTGAAGGATAATTATTGCTCATAAAATGTTTTGTGCTCCTGCAATGAAACCTCTTGGAAACGAATCCGTTAGCATTATTAAGGCTTCAAGTAAAGCTCTAGCTCTGCCCTAGTGATGAATGACACCTTTAATGCTCTGAGACATGGTTCTGTACAGCTCCGTGCACGTCTCTCACCTTTTCATAACAGAAAGGAGAAACATTTCATTTTATTTAAAGCAGATGTCTCAATCAACTTTTTTTTAGCATATATTGTTGTTACAGAAATCAAAGCTCAGTCTGGTAATGAGCCAGAATTCATAAAGCAAAAGAGAAAGCAACACAGATTAGTCACAGCTAGTGACAGGATTGAATTATTCCATGCTGTAGAATCCCCAGGATAATTTCCAGTGACAAAGAAACAAGTAAAACATTATTACTCTATGCACAAAAGGATATTAACATGAAAATAATTACTATATAGAAATAAGATTATTGAGCTATTACATATAATGAGATTGAGTGGAGAGGTAAAACAGAAGCTACTTCTGCATATGTTTGCTTCAATTTAAATGTAGACTGGCATAGTTAAAACGGTTATTAACTTAACGATTACACTGCATCCTCAGCATGCCAATGACAAATGGAACATTAGCCACCTGTGATGAAAGCAACAAAAAAGTGAAATATCTAGTAAGTTGGTAAGCACAAAGAAAACTTTAAAAGAAGCTTGAAGCAACAAAAGCAGAAATGGGAGAATGCACTGTACCAAGTAATAGTTTGAGAACAATTGGTAAGAAATGCTGTACAGAAATGTAATCATCAGCAAGAATCCTGCTGCTGTCACTTGATGCAAGCACAGTGTAGTCCACTGAGAAGCTCATTGTACTCTACAACCATTAGCTTGTTTAATTCTACTAACTCTCATTTGGGGGGGTTATTATCTTCATCTCTCTTTTTTTTTTTTTTAAACAACAACTAAACACCACAACAAAAAAAACAACAGATGCATAGAGAAAGTGAAGTATATTAATAATGCAAATAATACCAAACCTGTGCCTCAGGAACCTAAACTATATCATTGTTATTCAGGTTGCATTCAACAACAATTAGACCTCTATTCTGTGAACACCCATAGCAGCACACAGACAATGTGCAGTCCAGAGGCAGTAGGAATTATGAGTTGCTTATGAATACACAGCAAGTCTGTAGCAGAGCTAGTTCAAGGTCTGATGGATCACAGTGTCTCTTCAGGACATTGTTCATCCTTTTCCACACTTGCGAATTTGTTGTGTTTGGAAACTGTGAATTGCTGAGCCTTGAATAATCACCTCAGTATTTAGTACCCAACTATCCTGCCACTTCTTAAATATTCAAAAGGGATGAACTATCTTAAAGAAGACGCTGTTTCATCAGCCTGTGACTTCTGAGAGCTTTGGAAGGACTGCAGTGCAATCTGGTTGTATGGCTTGTTGGATGTAGATAACACTGAGCAACAAACAGCTGCTCAGCCCACCCAGCTACAGTACATCAGCTAAAAATGATTGCTGATCTGGATTGGATTCAGACTGAGTAATTTCAGGCCTATTTCCACTCCCTTTTGTTGTCCAGTAATAAAATAATCCTTGTTAAAATACCATTAATGATTAAATTTTGTTCAGAATTCAAGTCTGTATTGGTCTTTCCTCAAGAATTGAAAGAAATTCTCAAACTAATCCATTTTCAATGAAGTATATTAAATGTTAGCAGAACAAGTGCATTCCCAATGCTGTTTTGGATTTAAAAATCAAGGTTTTCAAGACCCCTATTTGTTGATGAGCCAAGCAGAAGTAAGCCAGAGGCTCAGAGTAGAGATGAAAAGCGAACCAGACTGTGCAACTCAAACAAAAACAAAACCAAAAACAAAAACCCACACTTGTTAGAAACTGAAGTAGTTGCATAATGCAGAAAAATAAACTGGTATCATACAAAACATTCCAGATTAAAAAAAAAAAAGTATTAATGTGTAAAGAACCAGGTGACTCATGTAGTTTGTTACTAGCTTGTCACCTGGAGGCATGACTGACCAGTCAGCCCTTTTACTACACCACATATTGTTGTCTCAAATGCATGCAGAGGTGCAGGTACCATGGTGGTT